CATTTGCAAATTTATTAAAAATAAAAAACTAAAATGATTCCATTGCATAAGTATTCATACCCTTATCTGGGACAGATGAAATTTAGCTCAGGAGCATTCATATTGCTTATAGATGTTACTACACTTCGAGTGAAGTTAACCTGTGGCAAATTCATTTGAATGGGTATGATTTGGAAAGGCACACACGTCTTAATAAAAGGTCTAACAGCTGATAATGCATATCAGAGAAAAAACCAAGCTCTGAGGTCAAAAGAACTGACTGTAGAGCTCAGAAACAGGTTTGCGTCAAGCCACACATCTGTGAAGTCCAGAGCATTCAGAACCTCAGACTGGGCAGAAGGTTCACCTTCCAACAGGACAATTACCCTAAGCACACAGCAAGAGTGGCTTACAGACAACTGTATGAATGTCCTTGAGTGTCCCAGCCACAGCCTGGGCTTGAACCCAATCAAATATTTCTGGAGAAACCTGAAAATGTGCATCTGCCCCATCCAACCTGACAGAGCTTGAGAGGTGAACAGGTGAGGTGAAGAATGGCAGATAATTGCAAAATGCTGATGAGCAAAGCTTGTCGCATCAAACAAAAAAAGACTTGAGGCTGTTAAGGTGCTTCAGCTAAATAGTTAGTTAAGGGTGTGAATACTTATGCAATGTACTTATTTCAGTTTTTTATTTGTAATAAATTTACGAAGTTGTAACAATTCTGTTTTTGCTTTGTCAGTATGGTGTATGGAGTGTAGATTGATGTGGAAAGAAGTAATTTAAAGAAGTTTATCATAAGGCAGCAACATAACAAAATGTAAAAAAAAATTAAGGGGTATGAATACTTTCACAAGTCACTGTATTTATCTTCCTAATATAGGATATTGAGAGTGATATTGATGGTGTATTGACAGCAATATTGTGCCAACCATTCACAGACAAAAAACTCACTTTTGAATCCCAAGAACTATGTACAAACATTTTTTTTTTCTTTTTAACAGTGTCCAAGTCTTACAAAAGCAAGAACAGCTTCACTGCATTTCCAGTTGTCTTAAATGACACTGTTACCAAAACAACAATCCAGAACTTCCTGGCAACATCCCTATATCTTAAGGATGAATTTTCTACTGACAAACACCACTCATGTTTTATTTAGGAAATGAACAAGTATAGTATTAATTGTGATATTACACAATAAAAAAAAATCTTAAAATTCCAATAAAATCTGACTACAGCTAGACTTCACAATAAGTGAGTTACCTGACTGCATTTTCACACAGGACTAAATATAGGTCAGGAGTAATTGGGGATGGTGCCCTCTGGTGTTGTGAGCAGAAGCTACAACATCAGATCTCACAGATAGAGAGGAACACTGACATCAAAGATCACAAGAAACTTTTTGAGACATAAAATCTTTCATTGACTGTGTCTCCCAAACCACAAGAGGAACTGAGAAAAGCAAAAGGACAGGGACAACCCTGTGTGATGCAATGAAAGATTAAACGTTTACATGACTTTAAAGGCCTCAAATCATAAGCAATCAAATTTTTCTTGATCTTTTGAGATAAAAGATCATTGAACATTGAAAACAATGAAATACTGCAACTTTCAAAGTCAAAACTTCATCCTTAGTCAAAAAGAGCTTTTATTAACACGAAGGGGTGTTAACATTCATTCTGAACTTCTGCGGCTTCCTGATGACAGATGAAACTTTGAAACATTAACACTTGACCACATTTACACATCAATAACGCCTACTTGATTATGAAAAACTTCATAGTGTCAGTCACAGTGAGGTAATGAGGTCTTGAATACCATTTATTTGTAACATATACAACTAACAAAACTGATGATAACAAAAATGATTAAAAATTATTACAAGTTTCTCCTGTGATTTTCGTTGTTATTTCTCCATGCTGGATGATCTTCTTTGCTTTCATTCTCATTAAAAGTGCTGCATTTTGATCCCTTCACCTCATTTCCCCTGACTTGCCATGACAGAAGACCAAACTGTCCAAAAGAACTGCTTCCTTCCTTAAGGACCACAACAAGGGAATTTTTAGATCTAGCCTACCTGACCCACTACCCAGACAACTGCATGTTTACTTTTTTATGTCGGACTCATCACTTCGACTAAAGCTAAGTTGTCTGGGGATGGCCCTCGAGGGACACTTCAGGAGTACTTGGAGTGGATACTCCTGCACTGTGAGTAATCCTTCACTGTGGGGGAGGAGGACATCAACCTCCCAGAGCTCCCAAGTCCCAGTGGGAATACAAGTGGAATTAGACTGGACTGGGTGATTGACCTGGACAACACCAAGCCAGTTCCCGCCACCCATGGTCCGTAATCCCTTAGGCTCCTCCAGGCCTCTGGCTGCACCTCAGCCCTCCACCTCTTTGGCTCCCCCGGGCTCTTCTTTCCCTCCAGGAGTTACTTGGAGTGGGTCCTCCTGCACTGTGGGGGAGGAGGATACCAATCTCCCAGAGTTCCCAAGTCCCAGTGGGAATAAAGGTGGAGTTAGACTGGACTGGGTGATAGAAGTGGAGTTAGACTAGACTGCATGATTGACCTGGACGACACTGAGCCAGTTCCCACCACCATGGTCCGTCATCCATCAGGCTCCTCTAGGATTGTTCCTCCCTCCAGCTCCGCCTTGGTCAATCATCACTCTGCCTCTGTCACTCTGCCACTGCACTTCCATGCCTCTGGCTGTACCTCAGCACTCCACCTCTTTGGCTCCACCGGGCTCTTCCTTCCCTCCGGCTCCTCCTTCATCCTCACTCATACCGACACCGCCTCAGTCTGCCGAACCCCTGGCTCCACCTTGGTCCTGTTAGCCTTCAGCTCTACATCGGCCTTCCAGACCAGCGGTGGGTCTCCACCTCTCCAGGCTACTCCTCAGTCAGTCATCCCCCTGGTTCCACTTGGCCTCACCACCAAGACTCCACCCTGTCTCCTCCCTCCATCGGCTCTGCCGTGGGCTCTACCATCACCAACTCCCCTGTGGCCTCTTCCACTGCCAGCTCCTCTGTGGTCTATGCCAACACCAGTTTCAGTTTCTGTTTTGTTTCCAGGACTTTTGGTTTGTATTTACTTCCTTGTTCCTGTGTTTAGTCCCTGCTTCCTTTGTTCCCATTTCTAGTTTGTTTCTGTGTTTACCTATAAGTAAATGAATACATCCCACATTCCTCATTGTTTCTAGTATATCTGGCCCTCATTCTGTTCAGGGGCCCGTTCTTCGTACGTTGCAAACTCAGTTAGCTGGATTTGATTGTTGACGATTTGGCATGATCTTGGATTATTTGGTTCTTCGAACCTCATCCCGGAGTTGCTGTCATAGCAACAGGTCCGTAAGCTTAAACCTGCTCGGGAGCAGGCTTATTTCATGTAAACAGGATTAGATCGCATCTTTTTAAGCAGAACTGATACTTAAAATCTGTCCGCTACCACCGCTACTTTGTTACAAGAGTATCCTACTGATCCAGGGACAATAATTTAAAATAATAATCATTTAAAGATTAATTTAAAGATAATATAATAATGTTGTGTAGTCTTTAATACTATAGACACAGCCAGTTTTACACACATACAATTAGATTTATTCATCATAAAATTATTACTTCATAATTGTATTCGAGTCTTACACACATGCTATACAGATAATGTAGAGTCGTGCATTAATTTGAGTGGTGACAGATATTATGGGAGTGGCTTGATGGAGCGCAGGAGATGCAGATAACATGATCTTGAGCCTTAAGAAACTTAACAAATCTGTTCAAATATAAAATTAAATGAATTGCTAACTACTACATTGAAATAAAAATTTAAAGCTTGTACAAAAATTAGAAATCGTGAATATAAATAATTGGGAATCATGTTAAAAATTAAAATAAAATAAAAACACATTTCATTTATCTATTATAACATTTATGTAGTTTTGTTCGCTTGGCTGTTTCCTTGTAAAAGTCCAGAAATTTGTCAAGTTTTTCGTCAGGTGTCTTTTTTAATTATATGATGCTGTCGTTGATTACGTTGCTGTCTTGCCGCCAGCCAATCGCTGCATTGCTGATCGTGGTTTCGAGTATCGATACATAACCCCTTTTAAACCAACCCACGAACGCGCAATTATCTCAGATAACTCAATCCAGCCATACTAATCATCAACAACAGGTGCGTTCGAAGAACCGAATTAGCCAGATCCTGATTAGGGCGATGATATCATCTTGGATGTGACATTTCATCTCGGATGTAATAAGCGACGTACGAAGAACGGCCCCAGTTCTTTGTCTTGTCTTGTGTGTGTTTATACTGTCATGTTTCTTCTGTGGTTTTCTTTGTTATTTCTCCATGTTAGATTATGCAAATGTAATGTTAAGCATAAAAAAGGCTGTAAAACGCTGTTTGTAACCTATTTTACATTTCATGTCAAATGTAAAACAGGAGCTATATTGTAATGTGTGACTTTAATTTATTAATCAGAACTGATTTATTTAAAGTATCTCTATGACTGGTGGTTGAAAATTAACAGGTTTTTTTCTTTAGAATATATTTGCACTGATGAATCGTGTACAATAAAACCAGGAAAAGTAAACTAGAATGATTGGCGAACTCAGCAATGAGGAGAGTGCAGGATCCCAAATGGAGATTTTTTAATGTTATAATATAAACAAAAGTACACAAAACCCGGAATTTCATGTTGACTTTAATTACCACCCACACTGAAGTAGCTCTCAAACCTGCATTCATTTTGACGGGCAAATTGCAATGATCTTTTGTGTACTGAGCACATTAAGCTTCACCAGCATTAAAGCAAATAAATATATAAATGTGTGACTCTCACAGGCAGTGCTGTGCGCTGAAGTGGTGATATATGCGAGCCATGATTGATTTTTTTGGACGCCTTGTGGGAGTGGGTTAGCTTCCAGAGGTCTCACATCAGGTGCATTAGTGTAATTGGCTTTGAGGGCGAGAGAGTTCATCTTCCTCCACCATAAAACACATTCTCCTCACTGTGATACTGACAAATACACATCCACATCATTCAATCTGGTATGTACAGACAGTTGCCAAATGTTCATCGCCAGACTCAATGTCAAACCTAAGGCAAGTATAGCTATTACTGTTATTAATATCTCTAAATTACCATATAAAACACCTCAAAACACCAGACTTATCTCTGGTGACGAATGCAGGACACCCACATCTCAAAATCCAATCCACAAACAACGGATCAATTTATTTTATTTAAATTATTACATTATTTCATTTTCAATAATCTGTCACACTTGGACACATCACAATACAGAAGAAAACATCTGTCGCTACTTCAGTTTCATTGTGACTTAAGTGATGAACAATGGTGAACAATAAAACAGGTTAAAAAAAAAAACCCAAAGACTTACATTGAAATAGCGACCAGAGCTATAGAGACCAGCAAATCACAGAGACTCAATGGTGGACTCTTTTCATGCCAAGACAGCTATAATCAAACTAAAAACCCAGAGATGCATTTCCCAAAAGTATTGTTGCAACTATGCAAGTTCCGTCATTAGCAACACAGTTCAGCAGTGCTTTCCCGAAAACAACAATCTTTGCATTGCAAAGTCGACTTGTGATTAAAAGCATAGTTTCTTGTTAGTATTACATGTGGACTTGAATAGATCATGCTCTTGAGCAAAAGCAAGCTAACATGCAGTACAATCTATATCTTTCATTCCATAATCCATACATTTTACGTCTATTTGTTTGTCGAGAGAATAAAAGTGTAATTTATGAAGATTGTGCATGTGTGAATGTGCTCTGGGGAACCCCAGAGAATGGCGCAAGAGAATCTACGATTGAATCAAACAGCTGTAAACAAAGCAAATGGAGAACAAATATAGCGAAGTAGCCATCAGACAGCATGTTCATTATTTACAGCAAAAATCCGACATTAATTCGATTTCAAATCGTTATTACTCCACCTGCATAATGGCATTCTATAATGTTGAACCAGTATTGTTCGAACAACGGATGTGCGACAAAGTAACAGTTGTGAGTAGTACATTTCTCTGATTTTAATTTTAATATTAATTTTATCCCTAGAAATGGAAAAAAAAATGCATTAGTGTTACTGGCCTTCATTCATAGTAGGCCACTTAGTAGTGTTTTATTAAACAAATATCTAAAAAATAAATATTTTTCAAATGTATAGATATAGCCTATGTATGAATATGTGTGTATACATCTTTAAACATTTGTGCTGGCAAAAATCTCATTCAACCCTTTTTCTTTATCAATTAATTCTACACCCCAGGCTTCTACATTTTTTCACTACAATCTCAAAGCAACAAAAAAAATCACAAGTTGTGTAGGTGCTCACCATTGTGACCGTATCGTGGGCAGATACAGGCTTGTTCTCCACATGGTCAATGTTTTGCAGGAAGTTGACATCTGATTGCCTCTGTGGAGTTCTCTGGAAATGGGATTCTAGAAACACTGCAGGCATCAGCTTAGCCACCCGTCCACGAGACTGCGCCTGGAGTAATTCCTTATTAAATTCTAAAGCCTTTTCCTGACTGAGAACACCCATGTGCTGGTACACGGGGCCAGTCATTCCATTAGCCATGCGCCGATGCGGAATCTGATAAACTTCATCGTCCACAGAGATGCCTCCTGAAATATAGACAAACAGAGTTTCACATCATAGTTGTTACTATATAATGACTGGAACAGTCTACTGACCAATTACAATGCAGGATGTCAATTGTCCATTTTATATAATATTGTTTTTGCATATTGAACAAAACTTCAGTTGGCTTGTTTTGTACAGTAAATATGTACATGAGAAAAAGTAAATAGCTGAATAACTTAACTTCAATAAGTCAAAATTTGAATGAAACCACACTCTTAAAAATAAAGGTGCTTCACGATGCCATAGAAGAACCTTTTTGTCTAAATGGTTCCATAAAGAACCTTTAACATCTGAAGAACCTTTCTGTTTCACAAAAGGTTCTTTGTGGCGAAATAAGGTTCTTCAGATTACAAAAAGGTAAGAAAGAGATGGTTCTTTAAAGAACCTTTGACTGAATGATTCTTTGTGGAACCAAAAATGGTTCTTCTATGGCATCGCTTAAAGAACCTTTTGAAGCACCTTTATTTTTAAGAGTGCAGACTTAGCCTCCAACCATTCTGAAGAACTCCAAACCATCTGAGTGTAAGAATGTAAATCACCGATTGATCATGCATAAAGGGAATGGATATTGATGTCCAATACAAACATAAAACTTGGACCACTTGGAGCCAAGAAAATTAGAAACCTGAGAACCCAAAGGAAATAAATGACCTTCACTCTTAAAAATAAAGGTTATTTTTTGGCATCTACGGTTTCATGAAGAACCTTTAACATCCATGGAAACCTTCTAATACACAAAATGTTCTAAAAAATGTTTTATAATGGGTTATTATAATGTTCTTCATATTAAGGTGGGGGGAGGGGGGGGCATTTTAAGAACTGTTCACTGAAAGGTTCTTTAGGGGAACCCAAAATAGTCCTTCTATGGCATTGTTGTGAAAACCCTGTTTTAGAACCTTTATTTTTAAGAGTGTTGATGGACCCAAAGATGACAATAAATGCGGCTTATGGGATAGTTAACTCCAAAATGTAAAGTCTGTCATGATTTACTCATCAGCATGCCCTTCCAAACCAGCTTGCCCTTCTTTTTTTAATGCATATCCTGTCCACAGAGAATGGGTCTGTCAAGCTCAAAAATGACAAAAAAGCACCAGCGACGAAGATTAGAAGTAAATAACAACTTAAATTGTGGCCTGTTCCTCACACAAAGCTATCATATGACTTCAGAACACTTGAAATATAGCGCACAAGTACTATTATAATTTTATAATTATAATATAATTTATAATATATTTCTCTTTTTGCATTCCATGGGAGAAAGAAAGATGATGAACATCTATTTTTGTCAGTCTGGAAGAGACAAGGTCAAGAAGCAGGAGATGTAAATAGATAGATGTAAAACTATCTATCCATCTATCTATCTATGATGTAAATGGATGAACATTTTGATAAAAGACAGCAAAGTCAACACACTGTAAAAAAAAAAAAAATTTCCCATTGATGATTAGAGTATGTTATACAAATTTTCACTTCACATTTTCACATTTAATTCATTGTGTTCCTTGCCGTTTCTTTGTAATTGTGAAATTTACTAGCAATTTCTGTTTGAAAATTGTTTCTACAACAATTTTTAGTGCACTCAAGTCAGTCTAAATAAATAATTACTGCAAATGATCAAATATGGTTATGTTGATTAAGTGCTTGATAAGTGAAGATGTGTTTAAGCCTGTTATAAGAAGCATAACCGTAATTATGGAGTGTAACCACATGCAATATCAACTACAGTAATGCTGTATGAGCATACACAGCCACAAGACAACCTAATAATGAACATGCTGTAAAAATGAATATGTCTCTGTAGCCTACCTGATCTAAGCTTCAGAAAGGACTGTATATGGGTGCATTATTATTCATTATAGCGCTGGCAAGAAATGTTGAATAAACAAACATTTCCCTGTCGAATAAAGGTCCGTATATTTCACTTTGTTCTATGATCTTCATTGTTTATTTTAATTATATTACACTGATTTTATTTACCTCTTCAAATGAACCCTTATTAAACTCACATTATGTATTTGCCAAATAAACGCCCAGTTCACTCATTACAATAGCAAATAAGGAAATTATTATAGCAGGAATTAAAACAAACACACGATATCGATATTGTTTTTAGCCTCACCTGTGACGTGCAATCCAATCAATAAAGAAATAACGACTAATGCCGTGTTCACGAACATGATTCTTCTTCTTGTATTACAAATACATTATGGCTTTATCAGTCGAGGCTACAGTGTCTCTATGGTTAAGACACTGAAACGATGACTGTTTAACACAATAATTCTGCATCTGCTGAGGATCACACACCCCGATGTGTCTCTCTAGCGCTGAGAGGATTCATTTGGAGAATCGATTCACTTGGTTGATTCATTTCAAATAACCAATTCAGACGCCGTCGCCGATCCATATCTGTCATGTCCGGTCCATACTAGAACATAAATAGTGCATCTTTACACATACAGAGCTCGCGGAACAAGGCAGCTTTTTCTGAGTTAATCCCACTGTTAATCTCAGCTGTGTTCTATATTTAGTAAATATAGTATTTAGTAAATACTAGTTTGTTTCGTATTCAAACATCCACGCACCTAACAAACGAAGTTTATTTAGTCCAGTGATTCACACTGGACGCTCTGCGATCCTGTTCGAATGAATCTTAAGAACCGGATCGGATAAACGATTTGTTCGTGAATCACTAGTTCTCAGAAGAGAAAATGAGCAGGTGGAGAAAAAACATAAGCTGAAAAATTAATAAACTTGATTTGCCAATATGAGCACACTTATAGGTAGCATGGAGATATTAAAAATATTATAGAATGACCAAATTAAATTCCCTCAATGAATGAATAAATAGATCTGCACATCTTAAATCGTGTATTATTAGGCTATTGGTTGTAGTACTTTTACTTTACTTTTACTTCTAGTCATTTAGCAGACGCTTTTATCCAAAGCGACTTACAAATAAGAAAAAGTAATTAAAACTAAAAGCTAAAACTCTATAAATACTATA